AGAACTGGCCATATATTTTGTCATAGAACTTGTTCGTTGAAGATATGGTTCGGCTTAGTGCTGGTCGTTTCAAAAAAAGAGTTTTAAATATTTAAATTCTTTCTCTTTAGATTTCGACCAGTTCTATGCAGGACCTTTGTTTTAACGGACCAGTTCTATGGCCAGTTCTATGACCAGTTCTATCCGGTTGTACCAGTGCCGCCAAAGCAGAGGCCTGCGGCGGGGGGTGGGCAGCGCGCAGTTACCTGCACACCCGCGCTACCTGCATATCCACATGTGTGTCCACATGAACGAGGCCACGAAACTCTTCTTACCCAGACGTGTGTCAAAGACCAATTCAAATTGTAATGGTATTTAAGCGCTACTCAAACTGAGTGCGTTTCACATGAGGCCCCGAGAAGGGGAAGAGTGGGGAGGAGGTCTGAAGAGCGCAGGAGCTTCGGGACGATAGCGTCGGTCTCTGGAGGAGGGCGGAGGAGTGGAGTAGAGTCGAATGAAGTGGAGTGGAGTGGGGGGTATCTGTCAGCAGTGAGAAGGGGCGCCAAGGGTCAGGATGTCGTGAGTTCACAAGACAAGCTCCCTAAACTGACAATGGTGGTGGCGATGGTGCTATTGGTGTTGATGCTGGTGGCGCAAATGTTGGCGATGGTGTTGGTGTTCGGAAGCAGTCGATGCTGATGGTTGTTGATGCTGATGATGATGATGATGATGATGATGATGATGATGATGATGATGATGATGATGCTGAACCGGTCTTTGAAACACGTCCGGGTAGGAAGAGATTCGTAACTTCGTTCATGTGGATGTACATGTGAGTTTGCAGGTAACATGGGTGTGCAAGTAACAGGGCGCTGCCCCCCTCGCCGCAGGCCTCTGCTTTCGCGGAACCGGTACAACTGGATAGAACTGGTCATATATTTGGTCATAGAACTGGTCCATTTAAAAGATGGTTTGGCATAGAGCTGGTCGTTTCAAAAAAAGAGTTTTAAACATTTAAAGTCTTCCTCTTTAGATTTCGACCAGTTCCACGCCGGACCATATTTTCAATGGACCAGTTCTATGACCAAATCTATAACCATTCCCATCTAGTTGTGCCAGTTCCGCGAAAGCAGAGGCCTGCGGCGGGGGGGGCAGCGCTCTGTTACCTGCACGCCCACGTTACCTGCACACCTACATGTACATCCACATGAATGAGGCCACGAAACTCTTCGTACCCAGGCGTGTTTCAAAGACCCGTTCATATTGTGATAGTATCTGAGTGCTACTTGAACTGAGTGCGTTTCACATGAGGCCCTGGGGAGGGGAAGAGTGGGGAGGAGGTCTGAAGAGCGCAGGATCTTCGGGATGCCGGTCTCTGGAGGAGGGCGGAGGAGTGGAGTAGAGTCGACTGGAGTGGAGTGGAGTGAGGAGTATCTGGCAAGAGTGGGAAGGGGCGCCAGGGGTCAGGATGTCGTGAGTTCACACGACAAGCTCCCTAAACTGACAATGGTTGTGGCGATGGTGCTGTTGGTGTTGATGCTGGTTATGAAAGTGTTGGTGATTGTGTTGGTGTTCGGAAACAGTTGATGCTGATGATGATGGTGATGATTCTGATGATGTCGATGATGTCGATGATGATGATGATGATGATGATGATGATGATGATGATGATGATGATGATGATGATGATGATGAGCCGTTCTTTGAAACACGTACGGGTAGCAAGAGTTTCGTGGTTCCGTTGATGTGGATGTACATGTGGGTGTGCAGGTAACAAGGGTGTGCAAGTAACAGGACGCTGCCCTGGTACAACTGGATACAACTGAACTGGAACTGGTCGTTTCAAATCAAGAATTTCAAATATTCGAAGTTTTCCTCTTTAGAATTTCGACCACTTCTATGTCGGACCATTTTTTCAATGGGCCAATTCTATGACTAGTTCTATTACCAGTTCTATCCAGCTGTACCAGTTCCACGAAAGCAGCGGCCTGCGGCGGGGGGGGGGCAGCGCTCTGTTACCTGCACGCCCACGTTGCCTGCACATCCACATGTACATCCACATGAACGAAGCTACGAAGCTCTTCTTACGAAGACGGCGCCCGGACACAAAGTGTCCACACCGACGGCGCGAGCACAATCAGGCATGATGGCAACGGCACTTGCAATATTCACGTGGTTCGCCCCCCCTCACCCCCAAACCCAAAGTTGAAGTGTTCATATTTTGTCCCCCGCGCGTTGCCTCGCACCAAACCCCGTCGACTTTGGCTTGGGGGGGGCGGGGGCGATGGATATCTGTTCGACGCAGTTCGATGTCGTATCGTATTGGCGCGATGAGTGTGGACGCTTTTTGTCCACCAACCGTGTTTCAAAGACTGATTCGTATTGTTGTGGTATTTGAGCGCTACTTAAGCTGAATGCGTTCCACGTGAGGCCCCGAGGAGGGGAAGAGTGGGGAGGAGGTCTGAAGAGCGCAGGAGCTTCGGGATGATAACGTCTGTCTCTGGATGAGGGCGGAGGAGTGGAGTAGAGTCGACTGGAGTGGAGTGGAGTGAGGAGTATCTGGCAGGAGTGGGAAGGGGCACCAGGGGTCAGGATGTCGTGAGTTCACAAGACAAGCTCCCTACATTGACAATGGTGGTGGCGATGGTGCTTGCGGTGTTGATGCTGGTGATGAACACGTTGGCGATGGTGTTGGTGTTCGGAAACAGTTGATGCTGCTGCTGCTGCTGATGATGATGATGATCATGATGATGATGATGATGATGATGATGATGATGATGATGATGATGATGATGATGATGACGATGTTGATGAGCCAGTCTTTGAAACACGTCTGGGTAGGAAGAGTTTCGTAGCTTCGTTCATGTGGATGTACATGTGAGTGTGCAGGCAACATGGGTGTGCAAGTAACACGTCGCTGCCCACCCCGCCGCAGGCCTCTGCTTGCGCGGAACTGGTACAACTGGATAGAAGTGGTCATAGATTTGGTCATAGAACTGGTCCATTGAAAATATGGTCCTGGGAGCCTTCGGGCGCTGGCCAGGACCTGCCGGGACCTGCCCGGGACCTGCCTGGGATTTTGCCTGGACCTTGCCGGGACTTGCGAGGGTACTTTTCGTCCTGGGACCCCCAGGGGCGGCCCCGCGCGCGCGAATTAGAAATGTTGTTAACCCGTTACTGGAGATCTTAGCATGCCCTGGGCCCGTTGGGCCGGCGAATTTCCGTTCGCAGTGAAATATGCACTCCACTGTTCGCGCAATCATCCCACCCACCCACCCGCAACATGATTTGTAAAACCCATGCGGCGGCGATTGCGATGAGTGCTTGGAGTTGGCTGGTGCATCTCTGCGGCCACGCCACCCCGCGCATGCTCGCACGCGCAGCGGCCAGCTAGTTTGGCGCTATCGACGCGGCCGCGGAGGTGCTGACCGCTGGGCACTTCCAGCGGGGATTTCAATGCGAGTCGGCGAGTTGGGCGGGCGCGGTATTATGGTAGCGTCGACAAGTGTGTACGCGATGATGACGGTAGCGATTCTTGTGACGATGATGACATTGCAATGACGACGGCAAGGTCAATGACGGCTCCGCTGCTCATCGTGCCGAAAAAGATGACGGCGCCTTCGCGTTGGTGATGAAGATTTTCGAGGGAGTTCGACATGCGCGCGTGGCCGGCGCGCGAGAGTGGCCCGCATGGCATTGCTTGACAAGGTATTGTGCACCCCCCCAAAACGCGCGCAAGGGCGTCCAAATGATTTCGACGTGCGGCGCGAGGGGCCCACTTGTCCAAATCTTAATGTTTTTTGCGCGAACGCAGGTTTTTTGTTGAAAACTGTTGTTGCGAAGCCACATTATATGTTACAGGTTTTCGGGACAGTCGATGTTGAAACCTTTACGAAACCTAGGGTTTTTGAACGATGTTTGCATGCGCGCACGACGACGCGCACGTTGGTCATGTTTTTGCAAGGAACTCTTGCGACAACACGCGCGCAAAAAGGTGTTCGAACGATTCCGACATGCGCGTGCGAGAGGCCCGCCTAGTAGCATGTTATGTAAGTTTGGGAAATTGATGTGGTTCTCTTAATAATTCGCAATCAACCGAGTGCAAGTTTTTTGTTGAACATGTTTCCGATGTCCTCTGATTTGTGAAGGATTTCGGCATGCGCGCGACGACGCGCGCGTGTGCATTGCGCCGTTTTTTTGCACAGGGTCCTTGGAAATTTATCATTTTCAGCAGAGGAGTTTGCGCGCATAGAATTTGTTGTAGAGGATTAGGGGTTACGGATTTTGGCCTGCCTGGGATGATACGAGGTCATATTTTGGATGGACGACGGGGCAGGGTCATATGTAAATTGCAATACGATAAGGGGAGTCGCCAATTCCGCGAGGGAGGGGTATATCCGATTATTATTTGAGCTATGTTGTGCAACCGTACGGAACAACGTATGTGTTGCATGCTACGGTGTGCAAGGTATCTTCTTCAAGCAGAGTGGTGAAACGGTTTGATTCATACTATTTGCTGCCGTAGGTGTTTTGCAATCTATGTGGGACAGGCGTCGTGGCGTTTAGATCAACCGATCGCACGCAGCCCGTGTCGGCCCTCGTTGCGTTGCCTCAGGTCGTGCTGAAAGGGCCTCGGAGGACAAGCGCACGACAGCGCTAGTACACGTCCTTGGCGCGCCGCGCCGCCTCGGGCGAAGAGAAGTATGCAGCGACTCCGACCCTGGCCCGGCCCGTCCCTGGGCCAGGGATCGATCTTACACGCCTCTTTGGCTTAGCCAAGGCGGCGCACACACCGACCCCAGGCCCCGGGATTGGCCTGTCTTGGATCAGTGCAGGCGTGTAGTTGACGCCCTCTGTGCCCCGTCCTTCTCCCCTGCGCGGCCGCCCCCCCCGCTTCTCACCCCGGTTCGCAGTTTGCGGTTGCTTCCGTGGCTCGGTGGCCGCTTCGACCGCCGCGCGCTTGCTCCCGCGGCCGCTGACAAACAAAACTGTTGGCGCTCTCCGACCGATTGGCCCCGGAGGAGTCGAAGACCCCGCAGGGCTGGGAGGCCGGCCTGGAGTTCCCGATGCCAGAGGAGCGCCGCCTCGACCCGCCCATGGCCGAGCTTCTCCGCGAGGCCGAGGCGTCGGGGGTGTTGGGCGCGCCTGCACTAAGGGCTCGAGGTTCGAGATTCGAGTTTTTTTCTGGCGCCGACTCCTGGATCCTCCCCTCCCTCCTCCCCCCCTCCCTCCCTCCCTCCCCCCCCCTCCTCCTCCTCCTCCTCCTCTCCTCCTCCTCCTCCTCCTCCTCCTCCTCCTCCTCCTCCTCCTCCTCCTCGTCCTTTTCCTCCTCCTGCTCCTCCTCATGCGGCCCAGAGAGATCGGAATGCCTCCCCCCTGGGGGCCACGTCAGGGGCAACGATAGGGGAGGATGACGACAGGTTCAAGGTTCGAAACTTTCCTGCGTTTTTCGTCGGCTCCTGGAAGCCTTGTCAGCCTGGGGATGCTCTTCAGCTTTGGGGTTGTCTGGATTTTTCCGAGCGGCCGCCCGAGACCCGAGTGATGATCCGAAGATTGCCCCTTCCCTGACATTCTCACCATCTTGGAGGCTCCAACGACCCGAGTGATGACCCTTCCCTGACATTCTCACCAGCTTGGAGGCTCCAACGACCCTGTCCCCCTCCGTTCAGAATCAGGGTAGGGGGTAGGGAGGGAATCGAGACAATGCTCCCAGACGCAGTGTATGTTGCTCACCCTCACCCGCCCTCCCAACACAGAAGTTGTACCCGAGTCTCAGCACATTCAGCGGTCGTCTTTGGATGGACAGAGTTACTGGGAACCAGTACACACCCCAGGTGCGCGAAGCTGGGGAGAGCTGCGTCACGCGTGCCAGGCGCGTCATGCGTGCCGAGCGCCCCACGCGCACCAGTCGCCCCCGAGGCCCGAGCGTGCCAGGCACGCTTCGTGCGCCAGACGTGCCACGTGCTCCGCGTGCGCCAAGTGTACCGCATGCACCAGGTGTGCCGCGTTCGGGGCCCGCTCAGAGTCTGCCATCTGCCCCCGCGCGCATCAGGAAACATGTCGGCCTCGACCGTCCTTGTCGAACACCGATGAACAATCACGGCGGGGTGGCCATCACGTTGTCTCGTGGCCCTGCACACAGCAGGCAATATGCCAGCCCCCCGCCGCCCATGCCAAAACAACTGCGCAGTGTTCGCGGGGCGTCCGCGCATGGTCCAGTGTTCGGCGCTAGATGAATTGTATTGTTCTCCATATCCTAAGGACGGGGTTCTTGTTCCCCATATCCCAAGGATGGGGTTCTTGTTCCCTATGTCCACAGGATGGAGTTCTTGTCATTACTCCGACCACGCCAACTTCCTCAGACACACCCCTCCCTCCACCTCCTCCTCCGCCTCCTCCACATGCTATGTTATGCTATGCGATGCTAGCTATGTTATGTAATGTAATGTGATGAGATGTGATATGATGTTATGATACGTTATGCTATGATGCTGTACTATGTTATGCCATTCTATGCCATATCGTGTCATGGCGTGGTATATTATGATATTACATGCTATGCCATGCTATATTATGTTATGACATGCTATATTCTGCCATATCATGTTATGCTATGCTATGATATACTATGGTGTGATATGACGATGATGATGATGACGATGATGATGATGGTGATGCTAATGCTGCTGCTGATGATGCTGCTGATCATGATGATGATGCTGACGATGGTGATGATGACGACGATGATGCTGACAATGATGATGAGGATGATGATCGATGATGATGATGCTGATGATGATAATTATCAGGATGATGATGCTGTGGCTGCTGTTGCTGTTGCTGCTGCTGATGATGATGATGGTGATGATGATGCTGCTGCTGTTGATGCTGATGCTGATGCTGATGATGATGGTGCTGCTGCTGCTGCTGATGATGATGATGATGATGATGATGATGATGATCATGATGATGATGAAGATGATGATGATGATGATGATGATGATGATGATGATGATGATGATGATGATGATGATGATGATGATGATGATGATGATGATGATGATGATGATGATGATGATGATGATGATGATGATGATGATGATGATGATGATGATGATGATGATGATGATGATGATGATGATGATGGTGGTGGTGGTGGTGGTGGTGGTGGTGGTGGTGGTCATGGTGGCGGTGGCGGGGCAAATTCTGAGGATGTCTCGAGCGAGGCGCGGGATTCAGCACCCCCAAGGGGAGCAGCCAGGGGGTATTGCACTTCTCCGTTCGCGCCAAAATTGCGGGGAGCTGCCGGCTCTGCTGCCGACGTGGACGCCCATGGGCCCCGAGAGGTGGGTAACGGCATCACCATGATCGCTTACGGTTACTCCGGCGCCGGCAAGACCACCACCCTGGTCGGCGACGCGGGGGCCCCCGTCGGGGGGGTGCACGGCATCGACGGCGTCGTCTCCATCTACCTGAAGGATATCAGAGCGTGAATTACCTACCCCGCTTTCGCTTCCAGGCAAAACCGAGTCATACCACGCGCCTCCTCGTCAAGCGGCCTGACCAGTACAGGCCGTAGTTTGGCATCGCTTGGTATCTCTTGGAAGCGAGGGTGGTCAAAAGCGAGGTAGGTTTGTTTCCCCCCTAGGAGAACTCCGACAGGATCAAGGACATCAAGATCAGGGTCGTGGAGGTCTACGGGCGCCTCGATCCAGGAAACGGCCGCCTCATGGCCGAGGATCGGTGGTCGACGCTCGTCCCCTGCCCCTGCTGCTGCCCCCTGCTCTGGGCGCCAGGGGCCGCGTGGGTACTCCGGATTTCGTAATAAAGGGAGGGGGGTCTCATTTCGGGGGGGGGTGTCTCTTCCAGGCTATCTTGGAGTGCCTGGGGGGTCTGGGGACGATGTTTTGGAGGGTTCTCCCACGGGGGAGGTCTGAAATGGCTTGTCTTGGAGGGTCCAGACCCCCTCCCTTTTATTACGAAATCTGGAGTACCAGTACCGCCATCCTGCCCCTTCGCAGGGCTGGGGGCGACGTGAGCACAAAGTTTCGGAGATCCGCGCGCCTGTCTGGATATCGTCGCTGGAGCCCAGCAGGTGCCGCGCGGCTCGGCGCGAGGGTCCAGCGCTGCTCCAAGGAGTCTGCGCAGATCCCCGGGACTTTGTGTGCTGCTGCCGTGCCCTCTTCCTCTGGACAGGGGCTCCGGCGGCTGGAGTTTGGTCCAGGGGCGGGCCCCAGGGGATGGTCACGGAGCTCGAGCCACGAGGAACGGAGCTCTGTCCGTGCCGCTCTTCCTCCTTTTGGGGCTGGGGCGTGCGCAGGAGTACCGCAGGTTTGTGCCGTGTCGACGCGGCGGCGACCCCTGCGCGGCCATTCCAGGTGGAACGCCGCCAGTGGCCCGGAATCGGCCACCATCGGGCGATCCGCGCTGTCGGAAAGCCGCGATGGTTCAAAGTGGAACGATTCGCGAAGAGCAACGCCGAAGTCGCCACGACACGAGCTCGTCGTTTGCATAAGACTCCGACCGCCCAGAGGAGGGCAGCGGTCTATGGGGCTTCGAGCTGAAGAGCAAGGCGGCCCAGTACCTTGGGCCCATCGAGTCGTTTTTCGGCGCGGACGGCCGCGTCGACTTCGGCAAGATCGATCAGACCCTGAGCGACCCCAAGTATACTGTGAACCTGCGCGAGCTGATCTCGAAGTCGACGAGCGGGCGCACGGACTGGGGCTCAGAGGTGAAGATGAAGCTCACCGATATCGAGAACCTGCGCATGAACCCGAACACGTTTCCGGCCCAATCTGGCAGTAAGCTCGCTCATATCCGGGCGACCCCCAACAACCCCAAGTCTTCCCGTGGAACGATGATCATAATGCTCGACATTGAGTTCAATTCGGGGGAGACGGGCAGCGTCTCTGTAGTGGACCTGGCAGGTGCTGAGGACCCAGCCGTTCTCGTGGAGGGTTTCATGAGTTTCTTTCCGAAGGATGGCGTGTCAGAGTGCATCACCAATGCTGCATGGACGCCAGGTGGCCCCAGCGCCTCGAATGCGAAGCTCATCCGTAAGTACATGCACGAGATGTCCAACAACGACTACCTCAACAACACCCTCAGCCCGTGCGTGAAGCTTCGCGACTTCCTGGTGCCTTGTGACAGGAAGAAACCCAAGCCGGAGTGCGTAGACATTCAGCTTGGCAGCGGTAAGATGGAGTTCGTGCGACCCGACCCAACAGCGGATGAGGCGTGGACATACAAGACTTTTCGGGATGCCTCGACGGCACTTGACTTTACGTTCGAGACCAATGGCCAGACCGTGGTGTTCAAAGAGGAGGAGGTCTTGGAAGCCATGGATGCTGGTGTGGTCTCAGGCACTGCGACGCTCAAGAAGTCCAGTAGTCTGGTGGGTAAAGACGAGTGTGGGCCCACGGAGACGGAACACTGTCCAGGCAGTTGGGTCGAACGTCTTTGGGGTCGGTGCGGGGAAGACGAAGACGGTAAGTGCGTCAAGACCTTAGCTTCAAAGCTGCAACGTCATCAGCAGGTCGACACTGATGGATCGTGCCCTCGTTTGTGATGATGGCCATTGTTGCCCCTCATGATCGGCAATGAAAGTCATTGCAGGCCGGTGTCTAAACTCTCGATACTCACTGCAGTGATTACGGCTTCCTTGGCGCTCGAATAAAGGATGTATTCTTCGTGTTTTAGAGTTCGTGACGCTTTGCATATTTCCGCCAGCCCATCCATAAGCGGTTTTTTGGCGGGTTGCCTTGACCAGTGAAGTGCAGGACCATACAGTGGCACAAAGAGGAAAAGCAGCCGCCCTATCATTTGCACATTTCCCGTTCGTATCTTCTCTGGTAAGCTGAACGGCGCTTTGTACCCTCGTGGGCGCTTCTCATGAAACCTTTTGGGTTCTTCAGGTTGTTTTGGGCGGCGCCACTACTGTCCTGGAGGCCTACGCTACAAACCTCAGGAACGCCCAGCAATTCTAGGAATTCGTGGTCTGGGCCCTTTCAGCACCTTGCGAAGTCCTTCTCGAGCTCTCATAACTGCAGTGGCCTTGGGACACTCCACTACGTGCTGAAGGCACGCTGGCGGTTATCATGCCCTCTTGAAAGCCCCCTTGGGGTATCTGGGGCTATCTCTGAGCCATTTTAAGTGCAAGAGGATCCTCTAATCGTTCTGTCCCAGTTGTTCCAGAGGTCCGAGGGAAACTGGGTAAGGGGATGGGCACCGCTCGCCGCCAGGGGTAACGGGAAAGTTGGCTCCCTAGACTAGCTACGCCCAGATGGTAGGTAGGATTCCGAAGCAAACGCGCATTTTTAATCAGATCAAATTTATTTTGAACGGGTATCTTTGCCCATAGGTGGCCTCCCTCCTGCACGTGGCTTCAAGATTTTTCATGTTCTTATGCTACACACTAGATTTTGTTATGCTGACGCGCGAGTGTGTGTTTGTGTGTGTGTGTGTGTGTGTGTATGTGTGTGTGTGTGTGCGTATGTGTGTGCGTGTGTGTGTGCTGGAAGTTGAATTGCCAGCGGGTAGCTGTAGGTGTGATTAACGTCTACATTGATTAGGTATCAGGCCGCGCCACTTAGTAAGCGTTCTCGCAAGCAGACCAGGGGCAAATGTTGGCTTATTACCACTTGTGCTTCTGGAGAGGCTACGGCGTTAGCGAGCCAGTTTCGTTCTCTGGGGCATCGCCAGAGGCCTGTGCGTTTCAGTTTAGCGTTGGTCGCCTTGTAACCAAACCATGTGACCGTCTTTCTCCGCGTGGGTGGGAGATATGCTGGCCTGCTGCTTCTGCCGCAGTGCGCGTGTGTCTCGGAGGCATCCGCCGAAAACCAGCCTCGCCTCCACTCCGACTGCGGGCGGGCAGAGATCGTTTCGCATTCCTCTTCGAGGCTGTGGATCCGAAGCGATAGCGAGTTCGGAGTGCGGGCGCGCTTCGCTAAGGTGAGGGTTGGTGAGATCGATTCGATCATCATCGGCCAGGAGCTGACCCCAGAGGACTTCGACTTCCAGAAGAAGTTCAAGGATCGGGGGTGGACAGGCCTCCTATCCTGACACGTCGATTGGCGAGTTGGCCGTTTTCGGTTCGCGAGAGGGCGTCGCGGCCGTCATTTTTGCGGTCCAGGTCCGTCGGTTTCGGTCCTAGGTCGTTTTCACTGAAGGGAGGTTTACTAAAGGGAGGTTTGTCCACCGCCGAAAGGACTCGAAAACTTACAAGCGTGCGTGGCGGGGGATCCCGAAGCACGTTGTCACCTTGTCGGGCATGAAGAAGGGCGAGGCGTACCGGCGAGGCGACACAGCAGAGCTCTGGCAGAAGGAGCGAAAGCGCTTCTGGCGGGAAGTGCACGACTACCTCACGAAGTACGAGAACAAGGAGGCGGTGCTCAAGGACAAGTGGGACCTCCACCTGCAGTATTTCGTCAAGGCCGTCGGCCCCATGGTGCAGGAGTCGATGTTCATCAACGAGGTCCTGAACCAGATGAAGAGCTACCTCGGGGCATGGTCCAGTGCGAGCTCCCGCGCCCCCCCTGGAGCCAAGTTCGACCTCTGGCCCGTGGCCAGCCTGAAGGAGCAGGCGAAGACAGCCCAGGTGATTGACGCCTCGCCAGACTCGCCGTACATCCGGGACGGCTACGACCTCTACGGCTTCGTGAAGTCGTCCGACCCGGCCTACAATGGCGAGAGCTACGCCGAGAGAACCGCCGATGGCCGTGACGACATTATGATGCTCTCGTTGCTCGAGTACATGCGGAAGGGTGCCAGGGAGCCCAAAAATCATGCATCAACCCTCGCTCCACGCGAGGGGGCAGAGGTAATGACGGGTCCAGTGCTCTCGAACGGCCTTCGCAAGTATCTGACTCCAACCTTCGACAGGGGTGAGAAAGGGACAGAAGAAGGATGTGGCGGAGGAGGAGGAGGAGGAGGATGAGAAGGAGGAGGAGGCGGAGGAGGAGGAGGAGAAGGAGGGGGAAGAGGAGGAGGAGGAGGAGGAGGAGGACGGAGGATGAGGTGAGGATGAGGAGGAGGAGGAGGAGGAGGAGGAGGATGAGAGGAAGAGGAAGAGGAGGCGAGGAGGAGGAGGCGGAGGAGCGGAGGAGGAGGAGGAGGGGGAAGAGGACAAGCTAGGTGCGCTCGCGTCATATCTGACGTCCTACCCCTCCCTCCCATCCCTTACCATGGCGCTGATTTTCTCTATCCGCGGACGCGTGTCGTAGCGGACCTGTGGCTCCGCGCGCGCGTGCGTAGTGGGTGGTGGTGCACGTGCGTGCGTGCGTGCGTGTGTGCGTGGTTGTGGTGGTGGTGGTGGTGGTGGTGGTGGTGGTGGTGGTGGTGGTGGTGATGGTGGTGGTGGTGGTGCTGGTGGTGGTGGTGGTGCTGGTGGTGGTGGTGTTGGTACTGGTGCTGGTGCTGGTTGTGGTTGTGGTGGTGGTGGTGGTGGTGGTGGTGGTGGTGGTGGCGGTGCGGCGCGGTGGTGGCGGGCGGATGGGCGCGCGAGAAAAAGGCCCGCGCTGGGGCGAGAACGCCATCCTGAACGACGGAGGCCAAACACCGATCCGAAAATGAGGCCCACGCTGCAGCGGGAGCACGATTCGGAACGATTCGGGAGCAGAAATGAGGCCGGCGCCTCAACGAGAGCAGCATTTTGGGAAAAAATGACGCCGGCGCCTCAGCGAGAGTCGTTTCCCGGGATTTCCCGGGAATCCTGTGTGTAAAAAAACAGTACGCGGAGGGTGCGCGGCCATCACCCGGACGCCATCAGGGGAAGAGGGAGAGTATATTCATATTGAGTAATTGTGGAGGAGGAGGAGTAGGAGGAGGGAGGAGGCGGAGGGAGGAGGAGGAGGAGGAGGAGGAGGAGGAAGAGGCGGAGGAGGAGGAGGAGGAAGATGAGGAGGAGGAGGACGAAGGAGCGAGAGAGGGGTGGGTGATGAGGTATGATGATGATGCTGCTGCTGATGATGATGATCACGATGATGATGCTGATGATGATAGTGATGATGATGATGATGATGATGATGATGATGATGATGATGATGATGATGATGATGATGAATTTGATGATGACGATGCTGCTACTTATACTGATAATGATGATAACGATGATTCTAATGATGCTGATGCTGATGCTGATGATGATGCTGATGGTGGTTGTGCTGATGAGGATGATCATGATGCTGCTGCTGCTCATGATGATGTTGTTGACGATGATGAAGAAAATGATGGTGATGCTGTTGATTATGATGCTGGTGATGGTAATGATTGTGATGATGATGAGGATGCTGATGATGATGCTGATGGTGGTGATGCAGATGATACTGCTGATGATGATAATGATGATGCTGATGATGATGAAGATGCTGATGCCGATGAGGATTCTGATGGTCATGATGATGGTGATGCGGACGCTGCTGCTGATGGTGATTATGATGATGATGCTGGTTCTGATGACGATGAGGACGCTGATGAGGATGATACTGTTTATGATGATGATGCTGATGAGGATGCTGCTGATGATGACGATGCCGCTGATGCTGATTATGATGCTGATGATGCTGATGATGCTGATGATGATGATGCTGATTATTATGATGATGACGCTGCTGCTGATAATGATGCTGATGGTGACGATGCTGCTGATGATGATGATGATGATGATGATGATGCGGATGATGCTGCTGCCGATGATGATGACGATGGTGATGATGCTGCCTATGATGATGCGGATGATGGGGATGCTGATGATGCTGATGATGATGACGATAATGATCATACTGATGCTGCCGATGATGCCGATGATGCTGATGATGATGTCGATGATGATCATGGTGATGCTGCTGATGATGCTGATGATGATGACGGTGATGCTGAAGCTGATGCTGATGCTGCTGCTCAGGATTATGATGATGATGCTGATGATGAGGATGCGGATGCGGATGCCGATGCTGATGCTGCTGCTGCTGATGCTGATGATGATGATGCTGATGCTGCTGCTGCTGATGCTGATGCTGATGATAATGCTGATGCTGATGCTGGTGATGATGATGCTGATATTAATACTGCTGATGCTGATGCTGATGATGATGCTGCTGATGATGACGATAATTATCATGATGCTGATGATGCTGATGATGATGATGCTGATGATGCTGATAATGACGAGGATGGTGATGATGATGAGGATGCGGATGCTGATGCCGATGATGGTGATGATGAGGATGAGTGTGATGATGATGATGATGATGATGATGATGATGCTGATGATGATGATAATGATGATGATGATGCTGATGATGATGATGATGATGCTGATGATGATGCTGATGAGGTCGATGGTCATGATGATGTTGCTGATGCTGATGCTGATGAGGCTAATGTGACTGATGATGCTGCTGCTGATGATGACGCGGGGGATGCGGATGCTGATGAGGATGATGCTGATGCTGATTCTGATGCTGCTGCTGGTGATGATGCTGTTGATGATGATGATGATGATGATGATGATGATGATGATGATGATGATGATGATGATGCTGGTGATGCTGAAGCTGATGATGCTGATGCTGATGCTGATGCTGATGATGATGATGATGATGATGATGATGATGATGATGATGATGATGATGATGATGATGATGATGATGATGATGATGATGATGCCGGTGGTGGTGGTGGTGGTGAGGAGGAGGAGGAGGAGGAGGAGAAGGAGGAGGGAGGTGAGGATAATGAGAGGGAGGGGGAGAACGCGGGGGAGGAGGAGGAGGAGGAGGAGGAGGAGGAGGAGGAGGAGGAGGAGGAGGAGGAGGAGGAGGAGGAGGAGGAGGAGGATTAGAAGGAAGAGGAGGAGGAGACGGAGGAGGAGGCGGAGGTGGAGGAGGAGGAGGCGGATGACGAGGAGGAGGAGGAGGAGGAGGAGGAGGAGGAGGAGGATGAGAAGGAGGAGGAGGATGAGGAGGAGGAGAAAGGGGAGGTGGAGGAGGAGACGGAGGAGGAGGAGGAGGAGGAGGAGGAGGAGGAGGAAGAAGAAAAAGGAGAAGATGAGGCGGAGGATGATGAGGAGGAGAACGAGGAGGAGGACGAGGACGGATGGATGAGGATGGATGAGCGGGGAGGTGGAAGGAGGGAGGAGGGATGAGGGGAGATCGTGGGATGATGGTGATGATGATGATGATGGTGATGCTGGTGATGATGCTGATGATGATGCTGCTGATGATGATGCTGATGATGCTGATGGTGATGATGATGGTGGTGGTGGTGATGATGCTGCTGATGATGATGCTGATGGTGATGGTGGTGATGATGCTGAGGATGATGGTGATGATGACAATTATGACGATGATGATAACGATGACGATGATGATGATGATGATGATGATGATGATGATGATGATGATGATGATGATGCTGATGATGATGATGATGATGATGATGATGATGATGATGATGATGCTGGTGATGATGATGATGATGATGTTGATGATGCTGATTATGATGCTGATGATGATTATGACTATGAGGAACACGAGGATGCTGATGCTTTCGATGATGACGATGCTGCTGCTTCTGATGATGCTGCTGCTGATGCTGTTTAAGATGCTGATGCGGCTGCTGCTACTGCTGCTGAGGATGAGGCTGCTGATGATGATGCTGATAATGATGGTAATGCTGATGCTGATGCAGATGATGACGATGACGATGACGATGATGAGGCTGATGCTGATGCTGATGCTGATGCTGATGCTGTTGATGATGATGATGATGATGATGATGATGATGATGATGATGATGACGATGATGATGATGATGATGATGATGATGATGTTGACGATGATGCTGATGCTGATGATGGTGATGATGACGATGATGATGAAGATGCCGATTATGATGACGGTGATTATGATGATCCTGATGCTGATGCTGATGAGGGTCATGAAGTTGATGAAGAATATGCGGATGTTGATGATGATGCTGATGATGAGGATTATGAGGATGATGGGGATGATGATGACGATGATGATCATGATCGTTATGGTAGTGAAGATGTTGATGAGGATAATGATGGTGATGACGATGCTGATGCTGCTTAGGATGCTGATGCTGGGTATGCTGCTGATGATGATGATGCCGACAACGGTCATGATGATGACGATACAGTCAATGCACCCCTTCCGCACCACCATCCTCTTGCCCTTCCTGCTCCTTTTTCCTTGCGTGCACTGTCCGATGTACTGACTGCTTCTCTCCCGCAGCTACAACTTTGGCTCTGGGGAAATGGAAAGGAGCGAGCCTGCGGCGCGCGCGCGTGCGTCGGCCGGCGTGCCGGCCTCCCCCCTTCAGTGTTGCGCTATTGTATGCTTGACGGCATGATCCCTTCTTCATGTCATCGGCGGAGCCCACTAACCATGATATATTATCGGAACATCTTGCATGGATTCTGAATCTCCAGGCAAAGACTGGTTATCAGCCGAAGCGACGGCACAGCCGTTAGCTTCGCCGAGCATGGGATCACAAGCAGGAGCGCTCGGACGAGCACAAAATCAATACCCTTCCGAGCGTAACGAAAGTGTAAAGCCTCTATGAGGCGACCAAATTCTCTCAACCTTCCCAGAAAGCAAGCGTCAGAGACTGTGTTTGACTTGACAGAAGGGGGCTCCTCGGTTGACTCGGCGACCAGGTCCAGAGCGCAAGCCTCGGGCGGAAGGTATGGCGCAGCCACAATTTCCGCCGAGGGACCATCTGAGTTAGTGTCGGTACATATGGGCTTTCAGCCATCGATCGACCTAGATCTTGAGATGGAGAAGTTTTTGTACCACGCGCCCGCAGGAATGTCGGGCGGCGAGAGTCTTGGCGCAGAACGCTCAGCGCAGTGCGCGTTGCATGGACAGAGCGAGGATGTAAGTGACTTGCAATCGGAGGGGGGCAGTTCTCATTCGATTGAACAGAACGAAGAATATGCTCGATTCCGCACCTCGCCTGGTCCATCGTATCATCTCGATCCTCTCCCCGATGGATGTGTCGGGCTTGCCTCGGGCGCAGCTCCGTTAGCGAGCGCGACAGTTGGCCATGTGACGATTGAGGCAGTTCAGGAGGCAGTTCTTGATTCGGATGACGATCTCGAAGTCGGAGGAATCCCAGACCGAGGTGGACGCTCGTCTGCGGAGCCGATGTCGAGTTCCCCCATGACCCCATCCAATGACAAAGAAGCCGAAGGGTGTCTTCACCTTTTGCTGTAAGGTTTCCACCGACCAGACTTCTCATTGCCGAGGACTCACAGGGACAGAGTACCAGAACTTGTTGTGCTCGTAATGCAGGACGAAAGAGACGATTTAGCACAGAGTTGGGGCGTCGATTTCATCAATGGGGGTGTGAGAACAAGAGAACAACGCACGCCTACCTCCGGCAGTGCACGGGGGCGTTCCAGTAAGGCCCCCAGGGGCAGACGTTCCAGTTCTAGGGGGTTCGACGCGTTTGGACCACCGCGGTTGTCATCGAATAAAACCACCAGCAGCGTCTCGATGCGGGGAAGTTGCTGGGGGGCCGGGCCCGCGTGCCCGACCCAGGCGGGGAGTCGATGCCCAGGGGGGGCGCGCGAGCGTGGGGGTTCATCTCGGGGGCCAGTGTGTTCACGATGTTCGAATGTTTGTCCTAAGTGTAGTCTAGCATGGCTTTGCGAGGAATGCATTGCGACGGAAGAGCACAATTGCCATCGTGTCGCCATTCTAGAGTGGGCGGGGAGAAATAGACGTGATCGAGACCAGTTGAGGGCTGCGAGTGCACAAATTCAACAGATCATCCTTGAGGCACAAGCAGATTGAAAGGGCGCTGAAGAGGCTGAATGCACGCTTGCAGTTTCTGAGGCAGAGTGGCAGGCAGTGGCGCAAAAGGTGGGGGTATGAGAAAACTGTCATTGTGGAAATGCGCAGGCAAGGATGCAGCATGCTGAGGCCAGTGTAGCAGGGGTTGCAGACGAAGCCCAGCGGCGCCTTGCCCAAGAGGAGAACGAAATATTGAGAATCCAGAGTATCGCCGAACAACGTCATAATCTCATCAGAAGGCTGAGAGGAAAAAAGCTGAATGCAGAGAAATGGCTGATGCAGCCATTGGGAAAGGGGAGACGGGGGCCCGAGAACAAGCAGCGCGAGAAAATCAGGGGCCCCGCAATCAACTTGAAGCTGCTAGTCTCGAGGCCGAAAGAGTAAAATCGGAAGCCCTGCGAGCCCTTCGAGAACAAGAACAAAAGGCCCAGGTAATCAGAGATGAGGCCAAAAGAGGATGGCCGTTGCCTGGGGTCGTCTGAAAGGGCACGCAGATGAACAGATAAGAAACAATGTTCTTGCCGCTTGGGCCGCGAGCGAGGAAAACATGAGGTTGAGGTTTGACCTGGAGCAACATCGGATGGACAAAGCATCGCGGGAGAAGGTTCGGTTAACCGGGCAACCCGTGACATAATGTTTGACAGGGGTAGGTCCACGACTACGGGTTCGCCGGCAGAAGTGGGCCCCAGGGAAAAGGTCGGACCAACGCCGTCGCAGCCGGCGTATGTTGAGCCGCTTCCTCGCCCGATCGCTGCTCGCCCCATTCGGAGGCCTGGCGCCGCGCAAGCTCAAACGCGAACAGGCAATCCGAGTCAGATCTGTCACCTTTGTACCGAACCTCTAATCGATGTATGCAAGGGTTGTTTGAAGCGCGCATGTAGGGATCATCTGGGCATGGGTGCTAAACGGTGTGATGAGCGCGCTTGGAAGCAGGAGTTTTGACGACAGGGTGATCGCGAGAATTGGGGAGGACCTCGAGGCGTACCTGATGCTCAGAGGGCCAACAGCGATCCCGATGAACAGGCATCGAGACACTCGGCTTTGCCTTAGAATGTTGGACCCGAACGCAAGACAAGCGATATTGCTGATATTTTGGGCATTCCAGTATTCAAATCAGACGTGGGATTTTGGTGTAGGCCCACGGCGGCAAGTCCGCTCGCAGACGCGGACGTTCACCGTTGTGGGCGGGCACAAATCGGCCACGGTTGCGCGTTGGTCGCGCGCGCGGCAGTGCGACGCGACCGCGGCCTCGCTGCGCAGGCGCGGGCCATCGCGCCGTCGCGCGCCAGGGTTGCGCGTCGCGGGGGGGGGGTCGCTGCCCCGCGGCGCGTGCGCTTCGCAGGTGATTTGCTAGCGCCGGGGTTGCGTCGCCGCGGGGGGGGTCGCTGCCCCCGCGGCGCGTGCGCTTCGCAGGCGATTTGCATTTGGAGGAGGCGCCGCGCGCGCGCCCCGCGCGCGCGCGCGGCGGGTGCCTCCCTGGCGCGCGTTCTTTCTCTTCTTGTGTGTGTTGCGTGTGTGTGTGTGTGTGGTGCGTGTTGTGTGTGTGTGTGTGTGTGTGTGTGTGTGTGTGTGTGTGTGTGTGTGTGTGTGTGTGTGTGTGTGTGTGTGTGTGTGTGTTGCGTGTTTGTGTGTGTGTGCGCGCGCGCCGCGCGCGCGCTCGCGCCGCCGCCGCTCCATCGGCGGGCCGCCCTCCCTCTCGCGCAGGTTCCTCTCCCCCTCTGCCCCGCAGATTGGCCGCAGGCAGGAATTGGGCCGCGCCCCGCGCTCGGGATTTGAGCGTGGGGCGCGCCGCGCGCGCGCGCGCCGCCGCCGTCGTTCGCGGGCTCCTCCTCTCCTCCTCTCCTCGCGGGTCGCCTCGTCTCTCTCTCGCTCTCTCCTGCTTGCCTGCCCTCCGTGCTCGTCCCTCGTGGCCTGTTCGCTCCCCCGCTGCTCGCTTGTGCTCGTTGCCCCTCGTGCCCTGCTCGTGCGCCGTGGCTGCCCCTGCTCTTCGCTCGCCTGCGCGCCCTTGTGTTTGCTCGTCGCCGCGTCCTTTTTCGCGTCCGCCTTTGTCGTCGCCTTGTCGCCCTCGCGTTCGGCTGTCGCTGTTGCCTCGCGTGGGGTCGTCCTGGCTTGTGCTTGTCGGCGTGCTTGCTCGCTCGCTCGGCGTCGCGTTGCCTCGCTTTTCCCGTCGCCGTCGCCCCTGCGTGCCCCCTTTGCTTTCCCTTCCGCCGCCTGCCGCTTGGTGCCTGCCTTGCTGCTTCTGCCTTCGTGCCTGGCGGTTGCCTGCTTGCCTGCCTGCTCCCTCGTCGTTCTGCCGGTGGCTCGTCTCTCTTGGGCGCAGGCCCTCGCTGGCGCGGGCCCTGTGGGCACCTCGCTCGCGTCGCCTTGGCCTTTCGGCCGGGCTGTGCGCCAGGCTCGCGGCAAGGGCGCTCCTGGTCTCGGGTAAGGCGCAGGCCCCAGGGCCAAGTTTCGTGCGGGGGAGGGCGCAGGCCTTAGGATCCCTGTGTTTTGGGTCGGGCGCTGGCCCCAGGGCCCGATCGTGCGTAAGGGGGAGGGCGCATCCCGTTGATCCCTGTCTTGGGTAGGGCGCAGGCCCCAGGACCCGATGGTGCGAAGGGGGGAGGGCGCATCCCGTAGATCCCTGTCTTGGGTAGGGCGCAGGACCCAGGACCCAGTGGCGCGAAAGGGGGAGGGCGCGTCCCGTTGATCCCTGTGTGTCGGGTAGGGCGCAGGCCCCAGGACCCAACTGTGCGAAAGGGGGAGGGCGCATCCCGTTGATCCCTGTCTTGGGTAGGGCGCAAGCCCCTGGACCCCGTCTTGCTGGGCACCGCTCTCCTCGTGGGTCGGCCCGCGGGCCTTGTCTCGGGCAGGGCGCTGGCTTCTGGCTCCTCGTCTTGTGTGGGGGAGGGCGCCGGCCCCTGGTGCCGTGTCTTGGGTAGGGCGCAGGCCCCAGGACCCAATCGTGCGGAAGGGGGAGGGCGCATCCCGTTGATCCCTGTCTTGGGTAGGGCGCAGGCCCCAGGGCCCATTTGTGCAAAGGGGGAGGGCGCATCCCGTTGATCCCTGTGTCGGGTAGGGCGCAGGCCCCAAGACCCCGTCTGGCTGGGCTCTGGCTTCTGCTTGGGAGAGCTCCCGGGCCTTCTCTTGGGTTGGGCGCAGGCCCCTGGTCGTCCCCCTCTCGTGAGGGGCGCAGGCCTGGTCGCCACCTCTTGGGGTCCCGCGCAGTCTCCGTCCGGTGCGCGCTCGCGCCGGCAGCTCGCCGAGTTCGGGCGCCCAAGCTGTCTCGCGCCGCGCGGCACCGCTCTTCGCGATGGGCGACCTCGGCAGTTTTCTCGGCGCCTTGGACGGCGCGTCGGCGCGCGAGGCCGGTTGGCTCGAAGCCGCGGTCGCCGCGCTCAAGGGCCAAGGTGTGGCGACGATCGCCGATTTAGAGGGCGCGGCATTCGAGGATTTCTCTTTTGCCGACAAGGAGCTCGACGCCGCGCAGAAGCGCCTCGTGCGCGCGGGGATCGCCGCGGCGAGCACACCGGCGCCGGTGGCTGGGGGCTCGGCGGCGGCCGCCCCTCCAGCGCCCTCGGCGGCGGAGAACGCGGCCGCCCTCTTGGCCGCGCTCAAGACGGGCGCCAGCGAGGCGCAAGCGATCTCGACGCGATCTCGGGCTCGCGTGGCCCCGCGCGGCGCGTTCGCAGGAAAAGCCGGCCCGCGTACTCTTGGGCCCTCTCCTCGGCAAGGCGTCGCTGGCCAACCTCCCGCAAGAGTTCTGGCCCAGGCGCGCTCGCGCGCGCGCGCTGGTTCTCGCATCTGGTCCCGTGCGCCGGTAGCTCCGACATGCTTGACGCGTTGAACGCGGAAGTCTTGAAGCGGCAGAAGAAGGAATCCAGCGAGGAAGCGCGCGTCTTCCTGTACTCGGACATCCGCAAGTGGGTGCCCGAGTGGGCCCGCTCGGGCCCTCGCGATTTCGAAGAGGAGGCTGACGGATCGTCCGGCGCCAGCAAGGACATTCGTGACCTCGCCAAGGCTCGTGCCGCGCGCGCGTTGCCTGGCCCGCGCGCGGGCGCTCGCCCCGCAGGAAGTGGCGGCGGTGAAGAAAGGGCCCGAGAAGAAGGCCTACTTAACCCTCTGCCAGTGGCAACTGGCTTGGAACCGGCGCCACCTGCCCGTCGCGCGCCCCCCCCGCGCGCCTGCCTGTTATCGCGCCGCGCGCGGCAGGTGCATGGTCGCGCTGGTCGCCACGGGCCAGCTCACGTGGGCTGAGGTGCAGGCGCATCGCGACAACTGCTTGAAGGTGGCGGTTCAGGCTGCACGCGCGCGATTTCTCGTCGCTCTCTGTTCGCCGCGCGTTGCCGCGCAGGCGGCGGCCTCGAAGCGCCGCGTGCACCTCGGTATCGTGTGCGACGAGGAGGCGCGGAAGGCGCGCCCCTGCGTTCGTGCTTGCGCGGCGCCCTGCGTCTGTGCCGGCGCGTGGCAGCTATGGGCCGAGCAGCTACGCTCGGGGGGCCCAGATTTCAAGCTGGGGAAGACGATCCTGCGGGTCGACCCGCGCGCCCTACAGCTGGCGCGGGATGCTTGCGACAAAGAAGACGGCGCCACCCACGCGACGGCGAGCGTCGCGCCGCGCGGATTCGCTTCTGCCACCTTTCTCCGCCGTTTCCGCGCGCGCAGGCACCGGCGGCCCGCGCTCCCGAGAAGGCGCGCGGGGCGGGCGGCGCCAGCCAGCCGTGGCGCGCCGCGCAGAGCTGGAGCAGCGGCTCCTGGGGCAGCGATTGGCCGAAGGGCCAGAAGCGCGAGCGCTCGTGGGGCAGCGATTGGAAGAAAAAGGACACGAGGAAGGTACGGACGCCGCCGCGCCCGGCGCATCGCTGAGCGCCGCCCTGGCAGGGCGCGCGCGAGCCCCCGTAGGGGTGGAGCCCCTTCAGCCGTCAGAACGGCTCGCGCGCAAAAGCCTGCCTCCGCCCGCGCCGGGTCGGGGCCGTGACCCGGGCGCGCCCGATAGTTCTACGCTTTGTCGCTAAAAATGGCCCCGTGCGCCGTGCGCAGGACCCCCGCTCGCGTGCTGGGACATGCCGCGTGCGCTGTTGCCGCGGAGGCCGCTTCGCTTTCCGCGCCGCGCTGCGGGTGCCCGGCTTGGCCGCGGCCAGCCTGGGCGGGGCGTGCGGGGGAGTTCCGCGGGGCAGCGTGCGTTCCGAGGGCGCTTTTCGCTGCGCTTTGGCGCCTTGTCCACGTCCGCGGTTTGCAATCTTGTACAATGCCTGCCGTGCCGGTGCCGCCCCCGCCGCCCGCATCTGGCGCGCGAAAGCGGGCGGCGCCTGGGGCTGCATGCGTCGTCGCCAAATCTCGCAAGGCGCGCTTTCCCGGCTCTCTGTCGCGCGCGAGCCAGCGGCGCGCGTCAGGTGATGCCGGCGCCGCCAGCGCCGCCAGGGCCGCAATTCAGGAGCGATTGGTCTCGGCGTTGCAGCGACAGCGCGTGGCGCGACATCTGCGTCGCGGCCGGCGGCTGTAGCGGCGGCGACGCGGAGAAACTTACCTTTCTGGCAAGGGCGCTGGACGGCGACCCCGCGCTCTGGGGCAAGTGGCGGCCCGCCGCGGCCTCGGCTTTGCCGCCCACGGCCGCTGAGGCAGTGCGGTGGGCCGCGCAGACCGCCCCCGCCGACGTGGTGGCTTTCCGCGAGGGCGAACTCGCGGCGCTTCGCGAAAGGGATCGGGCTCTCCGGGCCAGTGGCGCCGTGGAAGAATGGTTCCGGGGGGTGGACCCCGCCATGCGGCGCGTCGCACAGCACGTGAACGGGCCTCTCTGCGCAGAGATCGCGGAGCGCATTGCCTTCTGCGACCCAGGCTGCGTGGAATTCTTCAGGACGGGGGCGCCCCTCGTCGGCGAGCTCCCGCGGTCGGGCCACGGCAGCCCAGAGGTGTTCCCTCCCCGTCTGGGCATCGCGGAGCTGCTCGGCAACGCCGAGTCGACAAATCGCGACATTTCCTGTGGCCTCCGCGACGGCGCGCACGGCGACGCCATCCTCCGCAAGACACGGGACGAGGCCGAGCTGGGGCGCATCAGTTGCCCGGTGCCGCTCCGCGACGTGTGCCTGGACGGGGCCGTCATCGCTCCGAGGTTTGCGGTTGAGCAGCTCCGTGAAGACGGGTCCTCGAAACTCCGGTTGGTCGACGACATGACCAAGGCTAGGATTAACGAGGCGACGCGGCCTCAGGAGCGGCTCCACCACGATGCCGTGGACGCGCTTTTCGAAGCAGCTCGCATCTTCCAGGAAGTTGCGGGGCGGGCACCCGCCCTCTGGAAGGCAGACATCGACGCTGCCTTTCGTCGCGTGCCCATTCGCGCTGAGCACCGCCGGTTCGCTTGGATCGTGTTCAGCGCCGCCGGGCAGGTCTGGGCGGCGCAGCACGCGGCAGCGCCCTTCGGGGCCACGTCGTCGGTGCACAGCTGGGCGCGAGTGGGTGCCTTCATCGCGGAGGCGGCGCGCGTGCTCTTGCGGATCGCCGCGCTGCGATACGTGGATGATTATTTTGGGCCGGATCACCCCGAAGTGGTGGAGCACGCAGCAGCGCAGCTGGCGGAGCTAATTCAGCTGATGCTCGGCCCAGGCGCGGTGGCGCCGGACAAGATCGCCTGGGGGTCCCCGCTGGTCATCCTCGGCCTCGAAATCAAGGCGGGGCGGCCTTGGCGCGACGCGCCGGCCGGCCGGCTGCGCGCATCGCCAGGTGCTGCCACGCGCGTTCTGCGCGCGTCCCGCACCCGCGAAGACCGCCAAGTGGCAGCGTGTCATCGGCGAGGCGCTCGCGACGCGCGCCCTCGCGCCAGGCGGCTCGCGCGTCCCCCCTAATGTGTCGGGACCTTGCGTTCGCTGTGCAGGCGCATCGTCCAAGCTGGCCGGGGGCTTGGCCTGGGCAGCGTCGCATCTCTTCCGCCGCCTGGGGCGCGCCCTCCTCAGGCGCGGCGCTGCCCCCGCGCGCCCGGGGGGGCGGGGCGCCGCGCTTCGTGCTCGCAGGCCGTTGTACGCGCAATCGCATCGCGGGGCATCGAAGGCCCATGAGCCGTTGATGCTTGCCCTGCAGTGGTGGCGCGAGGTCTTGGCCATGGACTTGTGCCAAGCGCGGCCGTGGGCCGACAAGGCGCGGCCTCGCGCAACTCTCTTCGCGGACGCGTCGGGCCAACCACCGTGCGTGGCCGCGGTGCTCGTCACCGCCACGGGCATCCGTTTCACTTCCATGGTCGTCCCGGATTCCTTGATGGCGTCGTTCCAGCGTCGCCGGGACAACCAGATTCAGGGGCTGGAGCTCCTGTCTATCGCGCTGGGCATGTGCACCTTTGCAGGCATTGCTTTCGCGTGCGACTGCCCGCGCCGGCGGGCAGGTCCGGCCCCTCGTCTTCGCTGCGCTCAGGGGAAGTGCAAGGTTGCGACTTGCATATTTACAGCGACAATACCGGCGCGGAGTCTTGCCTGCGGAAGGGCGCCGCGAAATCCTTCGACCACTCGTGCATCGTCCACTCCATGTGGAGGCGCGCGGTGGAGCTCGACGTTGACCTCGCGGTTTTCCGCGTGCCCACGGCTGAGAATCTGGCCGATTTGCCTTCTCGGCGCGCCCGTGCGCGCCGCGCGGTGCTGCGGGCTGGCCGCGGGCGCAGCGTGTCGCAGGGGGGGCGACGAACTCCTGCTACGCATCGGCGCGGTGCGCACGCGCCCGTGGCTCGACGAAGAATTCTGGCACGCGGATGCCTGGGGCGCTCTCTCTGTGGCCCGCCTCTTCGGCTAAACCGCGCGCCATGTCGCGCCCGGGTGCCATCTTGTGCGTCGGGGCGTCGCGATGCTTAAGTTTGGGCGCGGCAAAGCGTTCGGCGCGCCGCCGCGCTTGTCATCCTAGGGTCCCGCGTTTTGTCGCAAGCGGAGTGCGCGCGGCCAGTGCCTCAGGCGCGTCGCTCGCATTGTCAGGCGTGCCGCGCGGCATCATGTCGTTATTCCTTGAATTGTGTTCCTTGCGCCCGACAGCGCCCAGGGCGGCCGTCGCCTGGGCTGCTGATTTCCTGGCTGAGAACGGCTTCGTACGAGCCTGCGAGCTCGCCAGTGCAGACGCCGCAGACCTGGAAGGTTGGCCGGTCACCGCGCAGGCCAATGTCGAAGTCCTGCACGAATTATTCAGAGCCGCGAAGATTGCTGCGCGCCGAGGCTCGGCTGCGCGAGGGTTTTGGCGCGCGCGCCCCCCCCCCCGCCGCGCGTGCGCCTCGCAGGCGCGCCCGTCGCCGTGGGCTCGGCAGTTGGAGGGCGCGCGCCCGCCCGCAGCCGGTCGCCGGCGAGACGCGCGGCGCCGAGCGCCCCGGGGTCACCCCCTGGGCCGCCACAGGCGCGCGTCATCGGCCCCGCGCGCTTGCGCATGCCCGCGCGCCGTGGCTCGCGAGGCGCCCGCCCCGAGCGTCCTCGACCAGCTGGGCGCGCCGGTCGCGCTGCCAATAACGCGCGGGCCCCGGGCGGCGCTCGCCGAGGCCGCTGCTCGCCTCCGCAGTCCGGCGGACGCGGCCCGCTGGCGGGAGGAGGAACGCGTTCGCGCTATGCTGCAACCATGCGCACGGTCGCTCCCAAGCGTGAGAAGCGGCCTCAAATGCTGGGAGGCCTACTGCATCATAATGTTGAAATACCCGTGCATGCAGCTCCCGCCAGCCTGCGCGGACCTGGTCGCCTGGAGCGCCCTCTTTCGCTGCGGGGAGACGTACGCAAATTACTGCAGCTACGTTAAGATCGGCTGCCTCCTGACTGGGGTCTGCGTCGCCGTGTTCGACCGCCCCGAGGTCAGGCGTGCGCGCGCCGCCGTCCGGGCGCGGGCCGATTGGACTCCGCGCCCGCGCTTGTTCATCCGTAAGAGCGCGGTCGCCGCGCTGGTCGAGTTGGGCGCGCGCCGCCCCGAGTGGCTCCGCGCGTCGATGCTTTTCCTTTTCGCCTGCACGTTCTTGTTGCGTGTTCCCAGCGAGGCGTTGCCAGCCGTGCGCGTGGCCGACGCCGGCGGCGCGCCGCCCTTTCAAGCGGCGCTAGTGCTGGGCAAATCGGAGCTCACGCTGCTGCTGCGGCGGCGGAAGAACCGGCCGCAGGGCAGTCGCCTGTCGCGGAAGTGCTGGTGCTCATCGTGCCGCGCCACGTGCCCCGTGCACACCCTGGGCCCCTGGGTGGCGCGTTGCGGGCTGGGCCGCGGGCTCTTCGGAGGCATCTCGGCGGCTGCTGCGCTGCGGACCCTGCGCGAGATGCTCGCTGCCCTCGGTGTCCAGGGGGCGAGCCTGTTTCGGTTGCATGACCTCCGCAGGGGCCACGCCAAGGACCTGCAGGAGGCTGGCGCGACGCTGGCCGAGATTCTCGCGGCCGGGGAGTGGCGGTCCTGCGCTTTCATGGCGTATCTCGACCGTGACGATCTGGAAAGGGACGCGGTCGCGGAGGCGGGGCCACGCGCCCTCCGCCCGCGCCGCGGCGCGCTGCTCGCGCCAGGCGCACATGCTGGAGTCGGATTCGGACGAGGGTGCCTGCTAGGCGCCGGCGGCCAGCGCCGCCACGTTTCGCTTCTGTGCGTGGGCGGGTGCGCGCGACGGCGCCCGTGCTCTGCCCCCGCGCGTTCGGCAGCGGGTGGGCGCGCGTTGCCGGCCCGTGTCGCCTGCGTGCCGTGTGGCATTGGGTCTGCACGCAGGCGTGGCGCGAGGCCGCCCAAGCGGCGGTGCGTCGGGCCTGGGCCCGTCGCAGCCGCCCGCGGGGGGCAGCCTCGCGCCGCGCCGCTCCCACCGACGGCGGCAGCAGGCGGGGTCGAGGCCCTGCGCGCGCGGCTCGATTTGTGGTAGGCCCACGGCGGCAAGTCCGCTCGCACACGCGGACGTTCACCGTTGTGGGCGGGCACAAATCGGCCACGGTTGCGCGTGGGTCGCGCGCGCGGCAGTGCGACGCGACCGCGGCCTCGCTGCGCAGGCGCGGGCCATCGCGCCGTCGCGCGCCAGGGTTGCGCGTCGCGGGGGGGGGGTCGCTGCCCCGCGGCGCGTGCGCTTCGCAGGTGATTTGCTAGCGCCGGGGTTGCGTCGCCGCGGGGGGGGGTCGCTGCCCCCGCGGCGCGTGCGCTTCGCAGGCGATTTGCATTTGGAGGAGGCGCCGCGCGCGCGCCCCGCGCGCGCGCGCGGCGGGTGCCTCCCTGGCGCGCGTTCTTTCTCCCACCCTCCGCCCTGTCTGCTGCGCGCAGGCGTGGCGCGAGGCCGCCCAAGCGGCGGCGCGTCGGGCCTGGGCCCGTCGCAGCCGCCCGCGGGGGGCAGCCTCGCGCCGCGCCGCTCCCACCGACGGCGGCAGCAGGCGGGGTCGAGGCCCTGCGCGCGCGGCTCGATTTGCGAAGATGCCAATGCTGACCGCTCCGTCTGTACCAGCGCTTCCTTTCGTAATATCACATGTCATTCCTGAGCCGGTTGTCGAGGAGTCTCTCGGAGCGAGCGAAGGTTCGATGCGGGAGTGTGCCCAAGGAACGAATCCTAGGAATGTCCCTTTCAATGCCAGGATATCAGAGCCTCCTGACAACCTCGACTTGCCCGGGCGCCTTCCTCTCACCGTCGGCTCAGCCGTGACTGGTGAAGGAGGTGGGGGCCCGGGAAGACGCGACGGCGAACAGAGAGATCAGAGTGCAGCCCTCAGCGCCGGCATGATCGTCGCGATGCAGTTTGTCGAAACGGGTGAGCCCAGGCCTCCCAAAGGCCTTCCTGGGGGGCCTGGTGGCGACGGTGATCCAGACGGAGACGGCGGTGGGGGGCCGAATGGCCACAATGACCCAACCTGGCGGCCGTTTACCGCCAATCAAATGGATGTGATTTGGAGGAGTTATGGAGATAACAAAGAACTGAACTTGCTTGACATGCCGAGCGCCCAGACACTCCGAGAATGGAAACAACATTGCATAAGAGCGGTAGCTGGATCATGGCATGATGTTCGCGCGGCATAGACATTACTGAAGCCAGGGGGCCCGATTTGCCGGAGGAAAACCTCAGAGACTCCGGGGCATTGATGCGTCTTGATCTGATGATCGCTACGAATCAGCTGGACAAATTTGCCAAAATGAAGCGTAACCCACGTCTCTCAGTGCAGCATATTCTTTTTTCTACACATAAATCGCATGGGGCGTTCGTGCCAGATCGAGGGGCGTATCCTCACGGGCCGAGAAATGATGCGAGCTATATGCGTTTGGTGTTCTGTGAGGTCGGAGAGCGGATATCATTGGATATGCCGTGACCTCTTCAAACTGACCATTGATCGACATAAGGCTAATCAGGACTTGTACCATTTCTGTAGTGAATGGATGGAGCGGTTCCAAGAATTGTACGGTGCCAGGGAGCCGTCGGATGAAATGAAGGCTTCAATGCATGCACATTTCTACGAACAGTTTAAACGTATTCCGAAGCTTGAGGATGCCATGCAGTGTCTGAATAGTCGACAGATCCTCCGGGCACGGGAATGCGCGCTTCTCAATGGTTTTTGCTTCAGGTAGAATCTTTCGTATTGCCGGGCGGAGAACAGTGGGCAATCTCCGAACGTGAATCGACCCTCAATTCCAGAAGTAGACAGGCCCGCCTGACAGGTGCGACGAACGAGGGTGGCGGGGGCGGACGAGGAGCCTCTGCCATTTCGGCGGCAGCCCATCGACTAGGATCGCCTGCGGACAAGACGGCGGGCGGAAGAACTAAAGGCGAGGCGACTTGCAAATTTGTGAAGCAAGGAAAGAATTGCCCCGAAGCAGGGCAAGGCTGCTAGCCGGCCCAGCCAGGGGCGGGCGGTGATCATAGAGCCGCCGGCGTAGATAATGATCGCAGAGGCAGGAACGAGAGGTCTGGAAGTAGAGGCCCGAACGGAAAGGACCGGTCTCGCTCCTCGACTTCATCGAACAAATTCGGCAACTCGAATGCGGCGCAGTCGCGGACGAGGAGTCAGTCGGAGGCCTCGCGAGAACGCCAGGGTAAGATGGCGTGCTACGCATGGTCGCGTGACCCTCGCAACTGCAAGGGCCCTCAGAGCGGGTGCTATAAGCAGCGCAGAGGCTTGTCTGATGCTGAGAAAGTTAAACGTGACAAATGCGAGGAAGCACAGCTCAAGGCTGGCAAGCCTTTAGGCTGCCAGAGAACCTCAAGGCAAGCCGATTCTGCTGCTGCGAATGCTGGCGATGCTACGCCAGGCGATGCCCCGAGAAGTCGGGAGTCGAGTGAAGGCCGTGGAAAGAACAAAAGCAAGGGCAGAGGAATAGGGGCAGGTATACCAAGCGGGGCGTTCACCGAGACAGGAGCTTGCTCGCGAGGCAAAGACTGCTGGTTCGCGAAGAACGCGCCAAACCATCCGTGACGATGGCCAGGCACTGGCGTACTATGGGCCAGTGCCAAGATGATCGTCACATATTTCTCTCTTGTCTTGCGGATGCTTTTTCGCCTCGTGGCAATTTGGTCGCGATGTTCCCACCGGCCAAGCCGGCAAGGGGAGGGCAAGCGTGGGCTCTCTGGCACAGCCCGCCGAGCCCTCTTTGCCTGCCCTGCTCCGCTGGCTAGGGGATCTCGTGGTCTACGGGGCAATTCAGAAGGGCGACCAACTACGGCGGACTCCAACAATGAATGTTCATTTAATCTTAACACATTTTCCGAGGAAGCTGTTCCCGCTTCCGAAACGCAGCAAGAACGCAAAGATAAGTTGACGAAATTCGTCGCTATCCTCGTTCAGTTACATCCTCTTCCAAGGGGTGCCATCGCGTCCTTTTGTGACGAGCCTCAGGGAAAAGTTGCGTTAGCCCTCCACTCGTGAACCGATTCTTACTCGAAGGAAGGCGCGTCGCCGCTGCGAAAGGGGGCTGTCTTCGAGTGGGGCAACAGATGGAAATTCCCGATGGGGGAATATCGACGAATGCAGACTGAATGGGAAGCATCGTTGAGGGACGCACAGCGCAGAGCATCTGATTTAGCCGGCGACGTTTGGTATCTCTGGCATCCCAGGAAAATGAAGGAGCCGCCCAAGGTGGCTCAGCCGCTGCGGGGTGTAGGGAGAAGTCATCCGCGCACCTCGGCACGCTTAGATTCATAGTTGCCACTGGCTGTGGGCCCAACCTCATTGCGGAGAGGCATATTAGAGCTGCAGGCGCACTGGGTATGATCAAAATATTAGAAGATTCGATTGCCCTGAATACTGCTGGAGGTTCCTCCCGGGCCCTCGGTTCAGTTTGCGTCGCATGCCCCAACTTCAAGGATGGAAGCTTCGAAGCGTTGGTCATGCCGGAGACGCCGGCAGTGATCTCAGTCGGAGAGCGGTGCGTGGGTCACGGCTTTAGTTTCGTTTGGCCAGCAGGCCAACGACCCTACATACCTCTGCCCAACGGTCACAGAGTAGACCTGATCGTTGAGGGCAAAATAGCATACTTCACTTGATCTGGCAGAGAGGTGCTGGGTCAGTGGATGTGCGCGGTTGCCGCCGGAAAGCCTGCGACTCCCGAGCGGTGGTGTTGCGTGGCGTCAGGCGCCAAGACATGTCTGGATGACGTGGAATCTGCGGGAGGTCTTCCGCCCCGCTCCATTCGGAGTCGCGTGGCGATAGATTCGCACACGCATGACATGATTGGTGACCGCGGCTACGTGGGTGGCAGGCCAACGACGGCCGAGTGCTCATGTCCGTCCGCCATAGACTCCATGGATACAGTCACTTATTTCTACTATTCGCCTCAGACAGCTCGTGAATGCGGCTGGGACAAAACACCCGCAGGCGTCATTAGTCTTGTAAATCCCTCATCTGCTCCCAATCGCGACACAGTCGTTGGTTGCGCGGAATCACACCGCGGCATAGCCGGGGGCTGTGCTGCTAAGTTTTGAGAACTCTTTTTGGCATGGGGTCTCTGGAGTTTTGCCTTGCGACACGGATCGTGGACTGGATTCCATCGCGATGGCCGCCGCGCCTGGTCAACATGCGGATGCAAATGAGGGTTCGGGAGAAGGTCACCTCGTTGATATCGACGTACATTCCGAAATCGACCCAGATGGTGCTGAGGTTGAGGTGCCGGCCCAGCGACTGAGCGACAAAAAGAGCGCGGATTCCCTCTCGCACTTGCTAACTCGCACTCCTAAGAACCCTTTTTGCTCGGTGTGTAACTGGGCAAAGGCTATGCGTCGCCAACAGAGGAGAGCGCAACATAAAAGGGCTGAGGGTACGGAGGCCATACGCGAACCCCACGACGTTCGGACACCTGACCACCATGGATCACTGGCTTGCGATGGATGACC